ATCACATCAGCTAATTCCCTCGCAGATGTGGCGCGCCTCCACTGCGGCATTGAAATGGATAAGGATGCACGCAATGACTTCATGGAATGCAAACCGGCAGAGATTCTTAGCAATGTCCAGGACTACCTCAACTATTGCGCAAATGATGTATCCGTAACCCACCGCGTCTATGCCAAGGTCCTTCCCGAATTTCTCAAATCGTCTCCTTCCCCAGTGTCTTTTTCCGGCATACTGACGATGGGTTCGAGCTTCCTCACGGTGAATGAGGGGTGGGAAAGGTACTTGGAAGATGCAGAGCGCACTTATCGCACTTTGGAAGAAGGCGTGAAAAGGAGACTCGTGAACCTCGCAATCGCGGCCAGAAACATGGTAGAAAATGAGCAATGGAGGGACGACGTCTGGCTTCGGCAATTGGACTGGACACCAAAAGTTGCAAAGAAGTCTAGGGGTATTGGCATCTCAGAAGCTGTGAGTTTCGTTTATGCTTTTCCTTCATCGGGCTGTGCTGATAAGTGTCAAAGGTTGCGGACAAGACGCTGGTTCCGGCATGGTACAAGGAGCTATTATCTCTTGGTCCCTTCAGCACGAACATTGTCAACCGTATTCTCCCCCTTCTTCTCAAGCTCTCCTTAGATGGGCATTGTCCTAGGTATTCCGTTAAGGAGAAATGGCACCTCGTAATTGACGGTCAAGTAGTCCGCCCACCCGTACCTGGGAAGTCGAAGGTACTTAGCCTTCTCGGAAAGTCAAATGGGCTGCATATGTTACAGTCCGCTCGGATGACCACCGACCATCACGAATTGGCCTTGGCTTTAGCCAACGGAGACCGCTCGGATCGGTTGTCTCGATGGATCTTATCCCTTGCTGAAGAGCTGTCACGTTCCCCTTCCTCTGCAACATCAGACGACCCTTGGCTCGAACAACTCGACTGGACTTTGGTGGAGAACGCATCAACGGGTTCGCCAAAACTAAACCTTTCAAAGCCACCACAAGTCCTCTGGCCCAAATGGTATTGGGATCTCACCAGGCCGAAGAAGGATCTTCCTGCCGGAACTATCGATATCACACCTCGTACTCGCATCGCACCTCTCTTACTTCGGCTGTCCTGGCAAAGCTGGCCTCTTTTTCATTCCCGTGAACACGGGTGGGTGTATCGCGTTGGGCCAAGTGCTGCGTACACGACGCGCCAGACGCCATTAGACTTCCATCACCCGGCTGACGAAGCGCTGCAGGTGCTGGCCCTCCATGAAGGCTTCGTGTTTTACAAGTTACCGCATAAGGACGGCGAGACGGCGAATGTTGGTAGTCCACTCGCGAAGACGTTCGTCAAATACGCTCAGGATGGAACACTAACGAGCCCCGGAGACGAAGCACGCGGTGCTCTCGATATGAACGCGCAATGCAGCTACTGGATCAGCGCACGCGACCGCGTGATGAAACAGATGGTCGTGTGGCAGCAGGAAGGGCTCGATATGGGTTTGCGTGTCGGCAGCGCTCCTGGTAGCAAAGCAGGTATCATTCTTCCACAAGTGATTACGATGGGAACGGTAACACGCCGTGCGATCGAGCGTACGTGGTTGACGGCGAGCAACGCGAAGAAGAATCGCGTTGGCTCGGAGCTGAAGGCCATGGTGCGAGCACCGCCCGGATATGCCATAGTCGGCGCAGACGTCGATTCAGAGGAACTCTGGATCTCAAGCGCGATGGGGGATGCACAGTTCGGAATGCACGGCGCAACGGCGATCGGATGGATGACCCTCGAAGGAACCAAAGCCGCGGGAACAGACCTGCATTCCAAGACGGCCAGCATACTCGGGCTCTCGCGTGACCAGGCCAAGGTGTTCAATTACTCGCGGATATATGGCGCGGGGATGCGCCATGCAATGCAGCTCCTGCTCCAGGCGAATGCGGACATGCTCCCGGAGCAGGCGCAACGCCTCGCGGAACAACTGTACGCCTCGACCAAGGGCAAGAACACCCAACGGACTGATGTGTTCGGGCGGAAGTTCTGGTTCGGGGGGAGCGAGAGCTTTGTGTTCAATAAACTTGAGGAAATTGCGCTCTCGGAACAGCCAAAGACGCCCGCCCTCGGGTGTGGCATCACACACGCCCTATCGAAGAAGTACCTCCCCGCGGGGTTTGGCGCGAACTATATGACATCACGCATCAACTGGGTCGTGCAATCCTCCGGTGTGGACTATTTACATCTGGTCATCGTTTCAATGGAGCATCTAATCCAAACGTATGCTATCGACGCCCGGTATCTTATCTCGGTACACGACGAGCTCCGTTATCTCGTTGCGGAACAGGACCGGTACCGCGCCGCGCTCGCGCTGCAGATCGCGAATATTTGGACGCGCTGCCTGTTCGCGTACCGCCTCGGTATGGATGACCTTCCGCAGGGCGTTGCGTTCTTCTCTGCCGTGGATGTCGACTCGGTGCTGCGTAAGGAGGCGGACATGCCGTGTGTCACTCCCTCCCATCCGACGCCAATCCCTCCTGGTGAGTCACTCAGCATCGAGGAGGTGCTTGCACGGACAGGCGGCACCCTATGGGCAGACGGCCGACCGATGGGGGAACCCATGGAAGAAGAGGACGCGGCGCAGAAATGGGAACCCCTTGTCGGGTACACACCCCCAGACTGCTTGCAGCATCGCGCGGATAGCGCAACATGGCTTCGCGCGCAGGCGACCGACTCGATCGCGGAAATTAAACACCTCGCGCAAGTGGAGTCCGGTGTCACGTTTGGGGGAAGCGTCGGTAATGGACGCACCCGCATGATGCGGAGACGCAAGTCTAGTGTGGCACTGGGCCCGGCGCCAGAACCGGACGAGAAAGCGAGCGAATGGGCGGAAGTATTACAGCACGCGATGAGGCGACTGAAATTGAGGTAGTGGGGTTTCAGTTATTGTGCGCGCGCGCATACCTATTTTCGAGCCTAATTTTATTTCTTGTGATGTGATTGTTCTACTATCGGATACGTAGCAGTAGTAGCAGACTCTAATACTGACCCTACCCTAATACAGCACCTTCACCCTTTCTTTATTCTAAGAGAGGATTTCTTGCCTTGGGATGACAGAATCAGCGAGCGACACGGAAGACCGAATCAGAATCCCTCGCAGTCCACAGCCTCCAGGACCCGTGCTTGTGCCCTGAGGACAGATGAGTGTGAGTATAACGAACACCGAGTCATACTGATGCGGCTGCGCACAAGTGACTCGGATAAATGGCAACGCCACGTATAAGCGCCGGGAGCGAGTGTTCAGAATGTACGTCCAGGGCGGTCGCAGTGCGTGTCCGACAGCGGACAGCGCGCCCCAGTCCAAATTAGGAAAAATCCCGACGTCGCCATCAAGTTCGCTGGCGCTTAAGCGGCTCTTTTCCCTCTCATTGGGTCGATAAACCCCGCCCATCACCTTTCGTATCCCCGCCACACGCTTCCCCTCCGCCCTGCGGCATCCCATCCCCTCGCAGCCGTTCGCGTCGACAAAATCCCACAGTTGTTTGTCGCATCATGTGTACATCAATAAACACAGCGGGGATCATATATATATGCCCAATGCGACCCGAGTCATTCCCCACCACCTCCGCCCACCTCTTCTTTCCCTCCGCCGCCGCCTCCCTCCCCGCGTCTCTCGCACTATACTCTCCACCCACGCCGCTTTTTTATTTTATTTTTTTGACTCGCGTTGACTCGTTGCTATGGCATCCCACTCGTCGAAGCACCACCATTCGCCATCCTTCGTGTCTAGTCCCCCGTGGTCACTAAACACGCTGACAGGAACTACCGCCTCAGGCAGCGGTGGACTGCCTGTGACCCCGGTCCTCAGTCCGGTGAGTCTACCGTCCCCCCCAGGGTCCGCTAGGTCTACCTCGACGTATTCTGGGCACACGCACGTGTACGCACCTCCGTTTCCTTCGACACCGGGTGCGCCACATATGGGCACGGTCCCATTACCCCCGCATCTCCACCACCAGCGTGCGCGCATACAGTTTTCTCCATTCTTTCCCAACAACTAACCCTCTCTTTCCCTTTCCCGTTTCTAGATTCCCTGCCCACACCGCCCGTGAGCCCTGAGCGTTCCAGGTATGCTGTGTTGAGTGAGCTACTGGTGTACACCGGCCATCGGCCTGCGCAACTGAGCTTTAACGTCGTCCAACCCCCGTCTGCGGCGCGGCTTCATCCGGCCTGCAGCCCCAACGCGATGAACGAGCCCGCCATTTCTACGCACGCACCCTTCCTTCTCCTTGAGGTCCCGGGGGTCTCTGGGGGCAGCTTCTACGCTTCGAGCGCGCGCGGCCACGCCGTCACCGTGGGCGAGGTCCTCCATGCCCTTCACGCCAAGTTGTCTGAGCGTGCCAGCCAGACGGACTACAACCAGCTCCCGACTGAGAATCACAGACGCGCTGCCTCGTCGAGTTTCAGCCAGCGCAACAGAGCCGTGCCTGACCCTGCGGGTCTCCGACGCTTTGATCTCCTCGGCGGTCGCACAACCTTTTCTGGTCTCCAGCGTGCAGCGAATGGTGCAGATGTTTGGCACGTGTACTTTATCTAGAACTTCAAAGTCCTCCCTATCTATTCAAGACATAAACGAGAGCGTAAGTACTTATTGCTTAAAGTAAGATGGTGGACTCGCGAGTGGACGTTTCCTGCATGATGGACGTGACTTGAACGGACACTTTTCACTGATGTTGTAGCACTGTTGTACCTCCTTTGTATTTTTACCTTTGTATTTTGTATATCTCACACCCCCTCCTATCGTCTCCGCCGCCTCTCACTTTACCCCTTCTCAACTTCTGTATTAATAACCTGCCATCATCATTCGTATGATGCCTGCCAGTATCTCACCCCGTCCTATTACCTTCACCGCCTCTCACTTTACCCCTTCTCAACTCCGGTAGCTTTGTATTAGCCATAGCCAGCTATTGCCGTCGTTCGAATGGACAATTCTTTTTCGGCTTGCACGAGTGGTTTGCAGGAGGAATTGGGGATAAAAAGCTTCCCATTAGCCGATTCGAACGACTGACCTCGTCATATGTAACGTGACTTAAGTTCACAAATACTAGTGACGCGCTCTACCAACTGAGCTAAACGGGAATCATACTATTAAAACGACTCGACGTGATGGAGATTTCTGATCCCAGAACTCAAGGACAGCTCTGTACCATCGCTACATACAGGCCAACGGCGTGTGCACGATGAGAGGGTTGTCTCACCTGAGGTCATACATGATAATCGCAAGTCTATCCTACAGCGCTCAATAGCGTCCACATAATGATAGTAACAGTGCCTCTCGATAATGTTTGGCTTGACGATGGACCTGTTTGTTCGCCTCCCAACATCTCCCGCCGCCGTGGCTGGCCTCAACAACTCTAACTCTAACTCTCTAACCTATTACTCTGTAATTTCCTCCTCATTCAGCAGCACCCATCGCAGGACGATTTACTTTCATGCACGCTTCTCTATCTGTTGCTTTGCTTTTGGCAAGCCTCGTTTATGGTCTCGCAATCTCTGGCATTCGCAACCACTGGTCTGACCCGTACAGCCTTCGTCCGAACCCGCTCTATCCGTACGCTCGTTCTCCCATAACTAGACAACTCGGAAACATTCCTTCCTATGCCTCTCGTCTCCGGAAAGACTCGAATATCTCGCCCTCCCGTACTCGGCAGCCTACGCTCCGGGCGGGGATGCTGCACCCCCGCCAAGACGCTTCTGGGACTATGGAACAGGACCTAGACACTAGACCGACACCAGAGCCCTACTGGCCAGCCCTCCATCGATACAACCGTCTTCATCGACAGCGTGAATGAATTTGCCCTTCTACTTCCGGCAATTCCTGGCGGTATGTTCGAGTTCGTGTTGCCCACGGGCGCCTGCCACAATGAACTCTTTTATAGAGGACGTGCCCTGACGCAGAAATGAATGCAAAGTCGTTCTGTACGCCTGAGAGTTCTAGTGATCTCTGCAAGCTTATGATGCCCGATGGTCTCATCACTGCCGCCTCGCTCGCGAGTGCGGAGGACAACTCGTGGATCCAGGTACTTTTCTCAAGTCCCTCAACAGGTTACTGGGCTCTAGCTCGTCCCCTCTAGGTCACGGGTTGCATCGACTCGAGCAAATTCCACTTCAATGCCGATGACGCTGGCGGACAATTTGACGTGCGCTTCCCGAATGGCGCTCGGTGTACGTTCGGGGGAAGCTTCATTGAACTGTGGGTATCCCTCGATCTTGACACTGACGAAAGTGGCATTGACGGAGGAACCCCAGCGTCGAACCAGCGTTGAATCGCTTCTGCCTACGCTGTTGTAGCAGCCCAGACGATCAGATCAATTGTAATTCTCATAGAGATCGCACTGGGTGTGAGCATGCCATCCCGGGTAAATACGACTTCCCAGAGCTCGGTATTAGTTGCGCATAAGCTGTCCAGGTCGCGGGCCGTCTTCGGCTTTTTGGGGTTTCTTGTACATTCTAGCTTGTTACTCACATGTCTATTTCGCTGTCCGTTGAAATGCTCAGCCCGGCCTTCTGTCCATAATATTGTTCACGGTGAGCGACCACATGTGTTGATTGACACATGATAACATCAGTGAAGGGAACAAGGGAACAGATGACCGGAGTCTATACATGTGGTGTCTGGTACAAACGTTCACTGTCAAGGCACTCATTTAAAATGCTCGCTAGTTCACTCACTACCTTCACTGCGATAATTTGAACGCAGCACTGTCCTTTACGAGTTCTTCCAGCCCCTACAACGCAAAGAAGAAAAAATCGCCGAGGTCGGAACGCGTGAATGGATGTGGGACGTGGGACAGATAGAATTAATGTCACCGTCACCAGAGACAAGTGTGAGAACAAACCATTGTAAATATTTTGTGAGAATTTCGGTTTAGACTTGGGCGTAGCCTGCCCTCGGTGTACGAGCTTAGATGCTCAGCAGAATTTCCAATCGTCCATGAGTTATATGATGCTGTCTCCCACCTCATTGGCGTCTTGATGATCGGGCCCCTATAATCTTGACGGATGTAGGATAGGTTTGCTGGTGACACTTGGGTCGGGTCGGGTACTACTGAACATGAAATTCGCAGATTTTGTTGGTGGGAATTCTCATCAACCTAAGCTTGGTCTGGCTAGAACCGAGGGGAAGCAGCTCGGCCAATCGCCCGTGTCTCCATATGTGTTCGAGGTTGGCTGTGCACTCGCTCGAGTTTTGGGCTTATGGGAACGCGCCATACTTTTGACCCATTGACATTTTCAGGTGATCAAATCCAAAGAAGAGCCGAGCAACGAATTCCAGAAACACATCGCCGCTGTACACATTTTCAGTTTGGTCATTCTGAATAGAAAGAAAGAACCCGTTGACGGTGCCTGCTGGCCGAAGGAGATGTTCTGATTACCACCCCATTCCATAATTCGACCACTCGGCGCGACCTCATGGACAACTTGATGAGGGTCTGGGTTTCCTCATGCTCGCCAGCTGTCCCAGGGCTCCACTGGATTCGAGCCAGACTAGGTCAAACGGAACGCAGCCACCGTACTGGAATTTCTGAAGCCTTCGAGATTCGTCAAACCTTTGTTATGAAATGCTGTCAAGGCATATGATCAAGAGAGAAAGGTCGTTGGGGCGTATTTTAGCTGCCGCGTGCTGCAGCACTTCGTTCTGTTTCACGAGAACGTCCTCATCGCCGTGTTGATGGCGCGCGAAAAGAGTAGGCCAAAGTTGTCCCCAAGGTTGAGAGATCGATTCCTATGGGGATAAACGGTCAGGATGAATCGATGACGATCTGATTAGGTGCTGAAGATCGTTCGCTTTCGGTTTTTGTATACGCTGTTGGCCACAGAAATAGCGGCACATGAGCAGATAAATGCAAGCCTAGAGTAGCCTCGGCCCTTGTTCATAGCCACTGCTCCACAGTAATCCTTCCATGTACTACTACTATCAAGAATTCGATGATCGGGCTCCATTATTGATATATGAAGCCTGACTTCGCTCTGCGCCGCCTCGGATGCAAATCAAGGCCGTACACTCTCTCCCTAGCCTGCATTCACGACCACGCTACTTAAACGCACGCTCCCATGGCCACCTCAACCGAGAGCACAAGCGACAGCTGGTATACAGATCTCTCCAGCATCCCCGCATACGCGTCCGCTCGGTTCCTTTCCGATAAAAGTCTGTCACATCCACCGTCTCCCTTGTCATCTCGATGAACTGAACGGCGCCGCACCTCACGCGATGACAGTCGTGCAAGTAGCGTCATCGTCGCAGGACCACACGCGAAACGCCAAGCGCACGACGTCCAAGACGTTCTTCGTAAAGTCGAATAGATCCGATGGAACGTTCACCGTGATCGCATCGCCAGCCCAGGACGTCTCTCCAGAGGTCATCGCTTCCGCCATCTCCCCCTCAGGCAAGCTGACCGCCATCCTTCGCGAAACGAACTCGGGAGATAAGAGGCGATTCGTGGAAATATGGGAGGGAGAGAGATTAGAGGCGGCCATCAATGTGACCAAGGCGCACGGCGTATTCTACAAGGATGGTGAGCCCCTCCCCCTTTTCTTTATTTGTGCCTAGTTGCGCCTATGCCCAACAAAAACACCCGAACTTTCCCACTTGCAGATCAACTCTCTACCCTCGCCTTTTCTCCCTCCGAGACGTCGTTGGTATACACCGCCGAGGCAAACGCGCCAGAGAATCAGGGCGACGACCCATTTTCGAAATTTCGCTTTCTGCCCGACTACGGTGAGGGCTACGTCGGACGAAAGCGGCCAACCCTTTTCGTCGCCAGATGGGTGCCCAATGCAGAGACCGTCGATGTGCTGTCTGGTGGCCATCGCCGCACTGTCGTTCAGGGTATATGCGTGCCTAAGACGATGTGTAACTCTGAGATCTCCTTTGGCCAAGCTCAGTTCCTCGCGGATGACCGTTTGCTTGCCACCAGTTATGAATATACTGAGGACGGAAAGCGGCTTGGTATTAGGGCGTGCTTTAATCGGCCGACCGCTATCTGGGAGCTCAAATTGGCCTTAGAAGTCGTTGCTCTAGAACAGTCAGACACATTGATCGCCATCTCAGCGACCAAGATATCTGACCCCAGACGTGCCTCTTGCTCCCCGCGCCCTATTCCTGGCTCAAGCGCGGTGCTTTGGCTTTCGCACGAGCTCGGTGGGCCCCACGCATCCTGCTTCTCGCTACACAAGTTTGATTTGCAAGCGCGCGAGGCCACAACCCACATTCCTGTTATTGACAAGATACAGGACGATTTCATGGATGGTTTTGCTGGTCTGTACACAGAGACCTTTCTTGCGCGCCCGTTCGTTCGGTTAGGAGGCAGGGTGTACTTGCTTACACGGACGAGTCAGTGCTCTAGGCTAGAGGTTATCCTTGTCGATTTAGAGCAGCCGGAGACAGTGATACAACTGACACCTGCTGAATCCGGCGAGGATCTGTGGAGCTGGTCTCCCTTGGCAACGGACAGTCGCAAGTGGGTCTTGGCTTCCAGGAGTGCGCCGACGGTCCCGAACGAGCTGGTCCTCGGAAGACTCGAAGAGCATGGAGGGAGGCCCAAAGTGACCTGGCAAGTCATTGAGATGCCGTCACTTACCCCTCGTGGTGAGTCCGCTATTCATGGAGTTCTATGATTCTCTGACGCGAACTTTAGTGGAGAGCGCCCTTCGCGAACTGAGGGCTACTGTTGTCCCAATACAAGATCGATACCCAGTGGAAACGGTCCTGATCGAACCAAAGCGACGTAGGGGTCAGCCATTGATGACAGTTATACACGGCGGTCCCCATGGTCATGTCCCTACCGCATTCAACCCGTCCCTGGCAGCATATGCACTGCAAGGATGTATGATCTATGAGCTTGTCCTCGTTGTTGGCTAGGCTAATGGGACCGCTGCATCTAGACACGTTGAATGTTCCTAACTATACCGGCTCGACCGGGTTTGGCGATATCTACGTCCAGGAATTGATCGGAAAATGCGGTTCACTGGACGTGGAAGACGTCAAGGCCACCGTAGATCACCTTGTGAGGGAGGGTAAGGGGGAGCACGGCCCTGGGAAGCAGTTCGTAACTGGGGGTAGCCATGGTGGCTTTTTA